TTTCTTTTTCTCCTGGATGAACTGATTAATCCAGGTTTGCCTGGCCTCAGTAACCGTGGTCAGACTAACGATTGTATTCTTTCAAAATGACGTTTTACAAATGACGTTGACTGTGTCTAAATGTCCGCAAGGGAAGAGTTTATAAACCCCAGGCTGGGAAAAAAAATAATAATTTGAAAATGTATAATTAAAAAAAAAAGGGGAAAACTAAGAAAGCAAATTTATTCATTGACATTTTGTGGATTGTATTTTTGTTTTTCAGGTTTTCATCTATTAGACATGTTCTCTGCTTGCAATAATGAAACAAATTTCATCCCACATTAATGGATCCAAAAAGCACATTTTGCAGCAAAAAAACCCAAAATATTTTCAAATAACAGAAAAAGAATAAGCCTTTTAACCGCTGTCTTATCAAAGTAATTCATTGTTCATATTTTCTTTTTCATTTATTTTTTTAAATGAAACAGGTTTTGTTGTGTGGGCCAGTTGGTCCAAAACTCCACGAGATGCTGGATGAGCAGATTGTGGTTCCTCCAGAATCTCTTCAGGAAACGGACGAGTTCCACCTCATCCTGGAATATAAAGCAGGTAAAGGGATTCAAAAACACGAACACAATGGATGCGCTCTACCTGGTCTGGATCCTTCAAGTCTGTGAAAATGAGACCAGAAGAGTTTTTGCTCTGGATTCAAACAGGTTTAGCCTTCTGGGGCTTTCTCTGCTGTACGCTCTGTCGCTTAGCAACCGTGACCGTTAACACGCAAAGTAGGAAAAGAGGGAATACCACACTTTTCAAAACTTTTTATTTTTTATTTTAATTTTTTTTATTGTAAAGTGAACAAAATCTACACTCATGAGAATCCAGAGTGGAATAAAGGTTCCAACCACCGGGAGCAGGAACAAATCATATCAAATGTAATGATGGAAACCTTAGTCAGTTAAATAACCTGCTGCTGTCATTCTGCACATCTCTGATGTTGCTGCTATTTTCAAATATCCATTCCTGTAAAATATCCATAGCTGCATATTGGTTATTTATTCTCCAGGTGCACAGTTTGATATTTTTAAAACACTTTACAGTATTTTATTGTTTATCTTTTAACTCTTCACTATTATGTAATTCTTATACATTTTTCTGAGGTCCACATTTGTGTGACCAATTTTTTCTATAATCTTTATGCTGCTATAAACACCAGAATTTTCCCATTCTGGGACAATAAAGGGATTTTCTTTTTTATTCTATCAAAGGGAATCTAAACGACGTATGTATGAAAAATATATCTGCAAAATATCTTATTTTCAACAACAAGAAATGGCAATTAAAAAATAAGAATATCAGATTTATTATTATTATTTCCTTGTTTCTTCCCTTCAGGGGAAACGTGGGCTTCCACTCAGGCGCCACAGGCCAACCGCTTCATCTTCTCTCATGATGTGTCCAATGGGGAGATGAGCACGTTGGAGACGTTCGTGGCGAGCCTGGAGGAGTTCCAGCCAGAGCTAGTCGTCCTGTCAGGGTTCCACATGATGGAGGGGCAGGGCAGAGAGCTGTGGGGGGAGAGACTGAAAGAGGTCAGGAGGCTCAAAGCTGCTCTCATCAGAGTCTTTTAATGGCTGCCATGACAACAGAAAAATACAAGGAATTAATCACTCTTTGAATTTTATATTTCAAACTGTCTGGATGTTTGTTTTAGGCTGTAGCCGCCATAGGTGACATTCCTAAGGACATTCCTATACACCTGGAGCTGGCCAGCATGACGGATACAGACTTCATGAACCGGATCATGCAGGAGGTAAAATGCTAACGTCTGCAGCCATGAAGGATTCTGCCTCCCAGAGCAGATCAGTGCAGATCCCTGACCAGGGCTCCACATTTAATTAAAGCCTCTCTTCCTGTTAGCAGGTCTTGCCCATCGTCAGCTCCATCGGACTGAACGAGCAGGAGCTACTCTTTCTCTCTCAGGCGGGGGGCGGCCCTCACGCCGCTCTGCCTGCGTGGAAAGGCATCCCTGACGTCGGGCGCGTTGGCGACATTCTCTTCTGGATCCTGGAGCAGCACGGCCGCACCGACCCATCCTCAGAATCTGAGCTCACTCGCATCCACTTCCACACGCTGGCCTACCACGTTTTAGCGACGGCGGAGGGTTACTGGGGCAACCAGGCTGCAGCTGTGATGGCGGGGGCCCGGGTGGCCAGCAGTCAGGCCTGCGGCCTCCAGGCTGTGGACGTTAGCAAAGTGGAGCTGAAGGCTCCGCTGGAGTTTCACAGCTCTCACTTTGAGCCCAGAGAGCAGCTGTCCCTGAGGCCAGAGGAGCCCGTCACCGTGTGGCGCAGGGGGAACATCACCTTCCACCTCAGCCCGGTACTGGTCTGCAAAAGACCCCTTCGGACAGTGGGGCTCGGGGACGCCATCTCTGCTGAGGGACTAGTTTACTCAGAAATAAAGACCCAGCAGCCTTTCTGAGAAAAGAACTGAAACTCTGACCTGCAGCTCTGCTCTTCTCTGAGCCAGTCTCCAGATTCAGGTTCCTTCATCCCAAAGATGTAATATTTCAGTGACCCCCCCCCCCTACCAGTGATCAGACGCTGCCCCTCGCCAAACTGGATCTGTGAGACCGCGATGCAGCTGGACTCTCTGCACCTTCCTAAACTCCAAAGAGTTTGACCTTCACAGCTACTTTACTGTAACCTGCATATCTTCAGAATGCTGTGCCTTCTACAAGAACCTGGAACGTTATTAAGTTGTCTTTTGTAGGAAAACTTCAGAATAGTCGTTGACATATGTGCTGTGTGATAGAATCAAATTCCCTTTCTCGAAGTTCTGCTGGTGTCTTCATGTCTAATATTCACTTGAAAGTTCCTCCAACTCTGGCCATCAAACATGATTTCAACATGTCTGATAAACTGGATTCCTTTTTTTTTCTTCCTATTTGGTCTGAAAAAGTAAGGAATATGCTCTCATATTCCAGCTCCATAAGAGCAAATGTTTGCTTCTGTTCCTGGCTCTATTAACTAAATTGAGGGGGAAATCAAAGTATTAGATTATAGGTATTAAATGTATTAAAGGGTATGTATTCAGATAATCCATTCCAGATTTTTATAGACCAGGTTTTATGACTGAATCAGGTAAAAGCCACGTTTAGCATGTGATGTTTCGTGTATGAAACATGCTAAGATGAACCATTGGTCCTCAAATGTTTAGAATGTGACAAATCTTAAAAACCTGAACTGGAAAATGTGTAGGATCCCTTTTTAATTGTCTTTAAGCACCAAAACACTCCCTCCATAAGGAAAAGGTATATTTAGTTTTTTTTTTTTTTTATATATATAAATAGGATATTCGTTTAGATATAGCAAAGGTATTTTAGATGTAGTCTGAAGCATGCTCTTCTTTAAAGGATGAATTTCACGTCATATTCTGATGCCAGCTAATTGACTTGATGGTTCACTTATGAGCGTCTCATAAAGGCTGTAATCTTAATGTCAAATGCTTTGGGGTTTATTCCCATTAGCAAACACTCCTCCTGTTTACCTCAGATTGCCTCTGAAGGCATGCAATAATCAGTCTTAATGCAGCCTTATGACTAGAAGGTGACGCAGCATTTGTGTTCAGAACAGGTGATTCCTTGCACTAGTAAAGATAAGTGGCCGGTGAGCCTGTGGAGGGGAACCATAGCCTTCTGTTTGTCCTGTTTCATGTTTCAAGCACAGTTTATTCATCTTTTACTCATTTTGTCTTTGCGTTCTGTTTGTATCATGTGACGAGTTCCATTCCCTCACTATGTGTCATTAAAATTCTGGATGGAGGAAGATGTGTAGTTTGGATTCTTTAACATAATGGATATTTGTCTTTTAAAACCAACAAGGTTTAAATGTTAGAAGACCTTTAATAACACGTGACAAGTTTTAAGTATCCATACAGGGGCTTGCTAAAGTACTTATACCCACATTATTATACCACAGTGAGTGATTCACCAGTGAAAAACAAAAAAAGTTTTTCTCTAAAAAGGTTTGACCCTTAATAGCATTCAACACCTTAAAGACTTTCAGATTTCACCTAAATTGTAGTTATTGCATTTTAACAGTGCTACATAATAAGCTAAGTTGCAGTATTTCTATACCTGTTATTTATAAACTAATAGAACCATTCATTTTTCTATCTGATGCACTTTTTTTTTTATCACGTCATCAATAATACAATACAGACTAGGTGTTCAACCTACTATTACTGCTCTGGTTTCCATTAGATTTAAATAGCAGTGGTCAATCAGAAAAGAAAGTCTGATACTAAGCTGTATCAAGTAAATGCTGCAGATTTGTCTGGAATCTGGATTGTTCATAAAGTAATATATTTAGGGTCATTGAGTCGGCACTCGTATATTATTCTCATCTATGTGAGTGTTGGGGGGGGGGGGTTGCTGGTCAGAGTTGATTGATTAATAAAAAATAAAGAAAACCTGTTGAAGATCAGTTTTGCAGCTGTATTTTCACACAAAGGTGGTTCATTGATTTAAGGGGCTAAATGTACAGAAAACTACCTCTCTTTGACTTATTTTTTATTTTGAATATTTTATAGTAGTTAGTCAATTAAATAAGGCAGAATAAAAGAGACTCGAGGTTGTGTTTGTAATGAAACTGTTGAATTAAATGCAGAAGAATGTTAATACAATATAAATAAACTTAACTAAAAATTGTCAAGGCACAATATTGCTTTAGATTATCTGGCTGTCGGATCTGTAAAGAAAAATAAAATGACCATACTGCACAAAAATTCCACACAATATAATATAATATATATATTCATAGCTGTATAAACACTTCATGTTTCTGCACATCACCAAAAAACGTTGTCACGCGTCTGCATCCGATTGGCTACCATCACAATACGTGATCCAATCAAAGCTCCGTGCTACACTATAATCCCGCCCCTGCGTCCATGAGACAGCTCCTATTGGGTGCCGGTGGTCACAGGCCCCGCCCACAAGCCCACGCTCTGTCCCTCCTACGGAGTTTATATAAAGCTAGCAACCAGCAGGCTGTCCCCGGGGCTAAGCCTTTTCCTTCTGTTTCGTTGTTGATGGTGAGGTTCTGTGAAAGAAGGATGAAGTTGTTTGTAGCTGTAACGGTCATTGTGGGATCGCTGATTTTTCTGGGTTTCCCCAATGGCTCATCGGCTGACGAGAAGAAGAAAGGCCCCAAAGTAACAGCAAAGGTATGGCCTGGCTGTAGGCTGCTTTCCTGGGGAGGGCAAAAAATCAGGGCTTTTCCCTCTGTGCTAACCGATAGTTTTTTAGCCACGTCACAGAGCGACCGGTGTTGGTCAGCTGCTAACAGCAGCTAGCTCCCTGCTAATACCTCACACGAACAAGCTAACTCTGTTTAAAGCTAGCGGGGATGAAGCCCAGAGACTGAGGCCATACTGTCCTTTACATCCGGGTCAGACCGCAGGAATTGGACACGTATCGAGCTCAGCTGTGGATCCTGGCCTGCAGCAGATTGTCCACGTCTGCAAATACAGTAAAGCCGAGATCCTGCCTCTGGTTTATCAGATTTATCAGGACCTGCAATTTCTTTTAAAGACGCCTTTTGATTTTCTGTGTTGCACCTACCTATCATAGGTTATAATCTATACAATAATTTATTCCCCAAACTTATATTGCATCTTAAAGATGAATCCTATTTAGCCCTCGTGCCTTAAAAGAATTCCTTAATTGACATATAAGAGGGAATTAAAGGAAAATTAATCTTTTAATCATTTCCTGCCAAAATAGATGGAACTTCTGACTTTAACAGGTTACATAAAAGATAATTACATTCTCAGTGAGTTATTTTCCAACTTGTCTCTTACATTGGGTGACGTCATTACCTTGCAAAAAATATTAGTTTTCATTCTGCTGAATGTCTCCATTACATCTGCAGCACTTTCACTTGGCTCAATAGTTCAAATTAGTACAGTTTTATAGTCTCGGTTCCAATTAACTTTTGGGACAGTTTTAACAATGACTGTTTTTTTGGGGATCAATTTTGTCACCCTGTTGTCATGCACCACAGAAGCATAATGCTGCCACTGCCATGCTTCCTCATGAGGACGGTGTTGGTTTTATTCCATGTATTATTCCTGTTAACTGCGTGGCTCTTGGGAAGCTGCAAAGGGGAAGGCTGGCTTTCTATCAATAATGCCTTTTGTCTTGCTATTCTGGAACGGAGGTCAGGTGGTTGATCCAGTCCCAAGTTCTGGCTTGTGTTACCAAACTGCAGTAAAAAAAGTTGAAGTGAGATCAAAATGTGGATGAGATCAAAGAACTAAAAACTCTCATTGGCTTGTTAGACACTGATCAAAGAAAACCTTCGGAGAACCATTAGGCCACCCCACTGATGCTGCCTCAGACTTTGTGCCCCCTAGTGTTTTTGCAGTGATATAACGCTGGATCGCTCTCCTGTAGGTTTACTTTGACATCAGAATTGGAGACGAGGATGTGGGAAGGATTGTTATCGGCGTCTTCGGGAAAACTGTTCCCAAAACCGTGGACAACTTTGTTGCCCTGGCAACAGGAGAGGTAAACAATCCAGGAAGCTGCTTACTTTGCTTTTATAAGGACTAAAAACATTGTTATGTTGGGCTTTGTGTACAGGATCCGGTCTGTTAAATGTTCATGTTGAAGGGATGATTTCAGAGGTTTTCAGCATGTTTACAAAGCTGTTTGTTTTGGTTAAACAGAAAGGCTTCGGTTACAAAGGCAGCAAATTCCACAGAGTCATCAAACAGTTCATGATCCAGGGCGGAGACTTTACCAGAGGAGATGGGACTGGAGGTAAGCGCTGAACTCTGCTTTACTGCACCTAGTGGGGTGATTGTTTAGATGGTTAAAAATCCAGAAAAATAGGTAAAGTTTATTGGTTTTGTTGTTTGAAGGCAAGAGCATCTATGGAGACCGTTTCCCTGACGAGAACTTCAAGCTGAAGCACTACGGCCCCGGCTGGCTCAGCATGGCCAACGCCGGCAAAGACACCAACGGTTCTCAGTTCTTCATCACCACCGTCCAGACTCCCTGGTTGGATGGCAAACACGTCGTCTTTGGCAAAATTCTGGAGGGCATGGTGGGTGTCGGAGACACAAATCCTGCATAGCCTCCATACTTAGAAAATAACTGGGATTAAATTGGCAAACAAAACTGAATTTTTCTCTTAACCTCTCTCCCCTCTGCTAGGATGTCGTCACAAAAATTGAGAACACAAAAACAGACGGTCGCGACAAACCTCTAAAAGACGTCACCATCCACGACTGCGGCAAAATCGAGGTGGAGAAGCCTTTCGCTGTGGCGAAGGAGTAGAGCGCAGCCCTTCATCAATGGCAGGGGAATCGGACTGGGGCGGGACGTCGGAGGAAATGTGCGGGCCACTTTGTTTTATCAGTAATAAGGCTGCAGTCCAGGAGGGAAGGGAGCACGCTCTGATTGGTTGACGGCCATCTTTATGCACCAGAAGAGCATTTAATGCAGTTATGACATGAGTCTGGGTCCATTTTACCAACATGCATTCCAAGGTGCACTTAACTGTTCACTGTTGGGCTATTTTGTAATTAAAAAAAGGAACGGATATGGGGAAATAAAGGTTTCACGTTTTGATACATCAATGTCAGCTCTGTTTTATTCCAAAGGCTTTTTATTGCTGGTGTAGAATCAAAGTGTAGTTTTCTTTGTTTATGGTAGTTTGTTTGTAGTTGAACAACTGGTAAGCATCCAGAAGAAGCCAGAGGCGGTTTACCTACATAAAGTCGGGCATATACTTTGCGATATTTTCAATCGTTGCACGCAGCTACAACTCAAAATTGCTCTGATGTGATCTACCTGCTCACACTGCATGTCAAAAAGTGCATTGCTCCAGGTTTTGGTAAATTGGCTCCTAGCTGTGCTTCAACAGCAGGATTTGTCCACAACCACCTCCCGTCTGCCGACTGAATTTCAGACGCTTGATTTTCCTCGAACCTTATGATTCCTGATCTGGAGATAGTCGTGAGAGTCTAATCACCCCTTGTTAACCCCTATATACTACACGACGCAGGACGCACGATCAGCTGAAACTTGGCCCAGTGAAAAAATCTTCGCACGACTGGAGAATCGGCCTAAAAAACGAAAAAAATTCATACAGTGTATGTCAGACTTGAGTTACGTTTATTTGAGTTTAAAAAAAATTTCTTTTGGAAATTTTACTGCGTATACTTAGTTTTACTTGAGTAAAACATAAAGTATCAGTATTACTGGCTGTTCTTCCCATTAGAACTCCATTCAATGATGAATGAGCTTGTTTTAAACAAAAAGGCTCCTAGTGAAGCTTTGGTTCGCAAACTTGACTGGTTTTAAGTTCATCTTCTGTCTGAATGCAGTCATGTAGAGGTAAATGTGGTCATGAACAGTTTTCTGTTGTGAGAAGAAAATCTAATAGTTTAGGAAGATATTTCTATCACAAAACATCATTTAGTCTATTTCTAAGGTTAAACTTGTTTAAGACTACAGCTGGAAGCATCATGCATGTGTCTGTTGGTGTTTTTATTGTGAAGGAGCCAGATGGTTTACTCACAATTATCAAAAATCCTATATACAGTGTTTGACGGTAACTGTAGACTTGGACAACTTTTATTGTTATTTATTTACAAAGTGTATACAAGACTGTGCTACAGTGATTCCGAACCGGGGGTACTAGTACCCCTAGTGGCCTGTGAGTGCATTGCAAGGGGTTCATGGAAATATTTCATTTCTTAGGTGGTAAAATAAAATAGGCTGGGATCTGCTACGCTTTGTGGGGACACAATCGAACAATTCAACAAGCTTTCATCAACCAAAAAGTACGTTTTTCTTTGAGTTCAGCTTTGACACACATTAGAACCAAACCGAGGACCAGACAGGATGTAGAGAACAGCCTGGGATCAGCTGTTTTTCACAATGAGCTCAGATGTTTGATGAAAAAAAGTAAAACTAATTAGGTCAATCTGACTATAACATTTATTCAGTATTTTGTTTCCAATTCATCAAGTTTAAATGTGATTATAGGGGATTTTCATAAAGTTCTATAAATACAGGTTTATGATATGATTGTATTATTTATTTAGAATCCTTACCAACTTCCAGGCAACATATTTATATTTGGGTTTTTGTTTCAGATAGAATAAAATGCTTTAGGTTTAAATGCTCAAGTTAAAAGATTAAGCAAAATAGTTGGTTCTTTAAGTCTAAGCTATCTTGGTTAATATAAATAGGTATAAATACCAAGTCTACAGGTGCACTATGTCCAGAGGTCAATAACTAGTTACATTTACTCAGTTATGTTTCTTTGGGTAATTTAAATAAAAAAATACCTTTAGGAGTAGTTTTACGTCATCACATTTTTTCCTTGACTAAAAACATGATAATTTTCCACTGCTCAGCTCATCCATTGTGAGTAGCTTCACTTAGTAAAAAAATCAGCTTTTTTTTTTTTTTAAACAAATATGCTCCACTGAGAGACACACTTTCTTCTTCTTGGAACTCAAGGTTTAATGGTTGAATGTTATTTTCTTTCTGCTGAGGTCATCTGGAGGTTTAGTGAAAATACAATAAACAGTATTCTGTAATTGAACCAATTTTACACACTGTAAATATTGATTTTATAACTCAAAAATCTAATCCATTGTCATGATCATTAATAGGGTTAATAACCATAACCACTTAATGTCCTAGAAATAAAAAACAAATTGAGCAAGTATTCCTTACTTTTCTGCAGAAAAGTGAGAGAGAGGACAGACCAAGGGTGAGACCCCTTGAAAAGTCAGTGATCAACTCTATCCAAACCTCTCTGTTCTGCTGCTTTTATTATTGGACTTCAGAGGAATTACAGGAGTGGTCAGAAGTTATCAGTCACCATAGCTGGATAATACTAGGCCCTGAGAGAAATATTTGCTCTCCTCATTTAGAACACTTAACAATCAGATTCCTGTAACTTGAAATAAAATGATAACATAAAAATTTTTCTAACAATCATGGCTATGCAGTAGATCAGTCACTCGAGTCGCCTTTTTTAATCAACTCTTACTTGAGTCATTTCTTTAAAGGCTACTTTTTATTTTTAGTTGAGTAAAATGATGAAGTAGTGCTACTTTTACTTAAGTATAATTTTTTTTACTCTACCCACCTCAGACTTTGTCTTCCCCAGAGCATCTCTCCTGCAGGCCTCTCCACGCTGATAAGCTGAGGTACATCTTTAAGTTCTCAGTCTTCTCAGCAGAGGGCGCTCTTACACCGGAACTACAACCTCCATCTCTGGCCCTTGTTTGTTTGACGCAAATGTGGTTGTTGAGCATTTACATAAATAAAACTTGTGGCTCATTGTCTGTACTTTTGTTTAAAGCCAAAATTGTCTTAAAGTCTTATAACCAAGGCAGAGTGTTGAGCTCTTGAGGGATGTTTATGATCTGGGAAAAAAATTCACATTAGATGCTCCTTCCTGTGATTGTCTGAATCTTCCTGATTCTTCAAGACTTTTCCAGTAAATCCTATCAAGTCGGATTCATTGTCACATCTGCACATGTTTGAGTACATGTGTATTTGTATTTCACATTTCAGTTGCAAGGACACTTAACATCAGAACAAATGTGCAGTAAAATCATTTAAAACATCAATCAAGTAAACAGTAATTATCACACAAAATCATACAAATCATCAAACCGATTAACATGATACTAAAAAATAGTTTATGTAAATTGATTTAAAGTATAGTAGTTGTAAACTTAAAATGAGTGAGAATGCTTTCAGAGCCCAAAACAAGCTTACATTGGAAGGAACCAGACTTCTTGAAGACGTTTCCTCACCTTTTTTAGTCGGCTCCACCAGAGCAAGCTGTAGTTGGAGCTCTGATGTATTTAAGCAGCATGGATGTCCATCTTCCTCGACACGTTTAGTCCAGTAAATTTGTTCTCCGGTGTCCAATTTAATGTAGGATAAAACCAATCAAATAGCTACCCCTCCTTGTTCTGGGTTGTTTTAATCTGTTGTTGGTTTTTGAATCGTGTTTAGAGGGCTATCATTATATCAGGCAGAAATAATTGGTTGATCTAAAAAAAGACAAAAAATTACTTTGCATGAAGTTTTGTCTCATTTTTCCATTGGGATATAATAACTGTGTACTTAAATAAACTGCATTTATGTAAACAAACTCCAGCTAATAAATCTAATTATTGGCACCTCATCTCCTTCCCCCCATTCTTGTAACTCTACCAAATCAGACTTGTTTCAGGCTAAGTCCACCGAGTCCCTCCAGACTGGATCCACATCTGAAAACTGAGCCGACTACTATCCAATCTCACTTTATGCCTCGCAGAAACTTCCATCTCCAGTGTCCACCTTAATGTAGGATAAAGCCAATTTATCCAAACTTTTCAGAGTTGCAGGATTTAAGGCTCTATTTCGCCTTCAATATGGTGACCAGTTTGTCTCTTAAAGAACAGAACATCAGAGGTCCTGAGTGGTTAGAATTGCTTTAAAACATTTAATATTCAGCAGAACATGATTGTGTCATCATAACAAACGTGTCAAAGATAATTTCAAAGCACTACAAAGTGTACTTTTTAAAATTATAAATGGACTCGGAGGTTTATTGTTAGTAAATTACTGTATTTCTAGACTAGCTTAAGCATACTTAAAATGATATTTTCTTTTACTAATAGTAGATGTGTAAGTTCATTGCAAGTAAACTAAAAGTTTAACTGAAAGACAATGTTAAGTATACTTCAAAGTAAACTTGAAGTAGATCAAATTAATCCCAAAAAGTTTATCTTTTGTTAAACTTCTAGCTTACTTGCATTATTGAATTTGGTCCATTTGATAAATATACTTTTGTATACTAAAGTATACTCAAAGATGGGATCTTGTAGTATACCTGCTTTTGGTAAGGGATTGGAACATGGTCAATGTGTGATAGTTTGTTTTGGGTAGCTTTTCACCCAGAGCTTTGTGTGCACGACCAATGACTGGCAGCTCTGAGCAGCTGGGTCTTCAGCCTGGATTTAAAGGAGTTTCGTTTTTGGGCTGTTCTTCAGATTTCTGTGAGTTTGTTCTAAATTAATAGTGCAGACAGACTGAATGCAGCTTCTTTATGTTTTTGCGGCTGCTTATTCCAGAGAGGCCACAAAACACAGCCTTTATATTTTGTGTCCCTTAAACAAGTAAGGAAAAAAACAATCAACTGGACTTTGTTGGAAGAATTTTTCCTCCCCATCTAGGAAGCTTTTTCAATTCAAATGTAAAAAATAGCATTGATTTCAGCATGCAAATGGAAATGCACGAATGTGTCCACCCCTTTGGAATGGGGGTCAATTTCTTCTGTTAGTCTGCAATGCCCCATACCTGTCTATGTCTCTGAAAGGGGGGTCGTTAAAGGGAATTGTTGGCCAGGCTGAACAGGTGAGGTCTTCTGCTCTCCTGTAAGGGGGTGGGGTTGCGATGATAGTGGGAGGGAATCAACTCAATTGCTGCATTGTAGGTATTTGAAAGTTAAAATCTGATTCCACCCCCTCCAACGGACCCGTTAGTCCGGTTTAATTTGCATGTTTTCTAAGACAAAACAAGACTTTGTTGTTCTACAATATAAAGCCTCAAACTCAAA